TTCTTCTTATTTTTATCCGATTGTATTTTTTTATTCTTCTCTCTCTATTTTGCGCGCTCGTTTAGTTCATATCGGCGGTACAGTGATTAATCTAATATTTTTTTCCACTTCGTTCTTTGGCCTCCTGTAAAAACCAGAAAAAAAATTAAAATAAATAAATTAAAAGTATAAAGTGCAGAACTGCTTTTTTTAATTCTCATTTTTCTCTTCACTATGTATGTTGATTGTATTTGATCTAATGTGCACATCTATCGTTTAATTTTGGAGCACGTGCACATCAGACGGTTTATTATTCACTTGATCTCGCTTAGACCAAAATTAGTTATTCAAACAAACAGAAAGTAATTAAGTGGGCCCGGTGTAAAGAAGCTGCTGATTGCTTTTCAACTAAATCGATCTTTTCTTAACGAACAAACTTTTTTTTTGTTGTAGCCGTAGTACCGTAGTCGTGGTATACAGTCGATTTTATTCTTCACTCTGTGAATTTTATCGACTCAGTGAAACCAATTTCAATTGAACGAAACCAATTCACTTGAAGCGTAACCAATCAAAACGAATCAATATTTTTTTTTCGGACCATTTTGTAATATCGAATCACAGGAGTAATTTGATATTGTGTTGAAAATGAGTATTTAGTGACACTGGATCCTTCAGTGTACATCGAATGACGAATGGAAAATGAGTGCAAAAAGACATCAAGTTTTTTTCTTCTTATTTTGTTTTCATTTTGGTAGCATCGAGCGTCTTACCGTATTTTTTGATTGATAGCATCTTTGACGTTTGACTGTGATTGTCAATACCTTTTTTTTTTTTGATGATCACTGGGGAGAAAGAGAAACACTGTTCCGACACTACATGCATGACTACATCCTGGCAATGTTAAAATTTGTGCATTTCAGCAATGCAAAACGCTGAATATTAAATGAAGTTGGTATAAAACATCATTAAAAGTTTTCTATATACATAGCCGAATGCACATTGAATTATGATTGTGAATTTTACAGGCATACTGAGAACAAAAAAAACGGTTTAAAAAATAAATAAATAAATAAAATAACAGAAAACGACGAAAACATAACGCAACAACCAGCTAACAAATGAGCCACGATACTTTCCTTTGTATCCTCCTGTTTGTTATAGAGGTCAAAATATCGTATCGAACGAATGGCATAGACTTTTATATGGCATACACTCACACACGACAGAAAAAAAACCAGCATACACATACATATTTGTTGAGAAAAAAAATATATCCAGAAATGCAATTTATAGCAAATGTTGGGATAAAAACGCAATGGTTCAACTAGTGGGTTGAACA